AATATCTTCTTGTAAAGGATCAGTTTTAGGCTCCTCTTCTTGTTCTTTACGAAATATTGCAAAAGATTTGTTATTCTGGAGGCCGTGTAAATGTAGTAAAGCCTTGAAGTAAGAAAGTTTTTTGTCTTTTAGTAAAAAAACACGATAAAGTGAATACAACTCTAAAATAAAAATACGTATGATAAAAAATTTTACCTGATGATAATGTCGCAATGCTAAACAAAAGAGATGTGTTATTCAAATATTTTATGATTTTCAACATTTCGTAAATTAAACAAACCTTCTGATATGTCTCCGGCTTTGAAAAATTCATTACCCTTATCCTTTTCGAGCTTGCTGGCTGCTAGTTTCTCTTCGTTTGCGGCAGAGTTGGCATTTGTGTTGGTTGACATTGCTTTAACGTTCAAGTGAATAGAAAAATATTTGTTTATTGAGTAAATTCTACTAATTTTTTCCTTTTTTTAATGGTACGTAATAAAGTAGTAGATATCAGATATATAGTACGTATTAAGCTCGATCGAAAACTTTAAATGGTAATTCTGTAATTATGATACGTAATTTTAGAATGATTAACGCTAAATTCGGTTTATATAAACTATACGTATTCTTTTTCCATGACAAGCCAAATAGAATCACAAACATCTCTCAAACTTGATCCAGCCACATATGACAGCTTAGAAACCATTCTTACAAATAAAAATGGTCAGATACCATTGCATAAGCGCTTTCGCGCCATGTTTACTTTAAAAAACCTTGCGGACAAAAAAAGCATTGATATACTCGCGAAAGGTATATTTCAATGAAGGGTAAGCTAAGAGGCATAAGTTACTACCAGAAATAAACCACTGAATCATTTCTTGTCGATTAACAGCATTTGACGACGACTCTATACTATTGAAACACGAAGTTGCGTATGTATTGGGCCAAATAAAAAGCCCATATGCGAACCCAGTGTTACGTTCTATCTTGGCTAATCGATCCGAAGATCCGATGGTTCGACACGAGGTATGTTCGTTTATTCTAACATTGTCATTATCGAAACTTTATGTCGTTTACGTTTTCCTTCATTATAAAGGCTGCCGAAGCTCTTGGGGCAATCGGTGATTTATCCTCATTAGATATTCTCGAGGAGTACTTATATGATGAAAACGTTGTCGTCCGAGAGACTTGTGAGTTAGCTATTGCTAAAATAAAATACGAAAACGGGAAAAACGGGCAGGAAAGTCCTAAAAGGTTGTCGAGTTTGTTTCTGCTCACTACTCTTGAACCAATTTTTAACAATTTAAATTTTGTTTACATGATTTAGCTTATATACTTCGATTGATCCTGCACCACCGAACGTGAAAGTTCAATCTGTAACAAAATTACGTGATATCCTCCTCGACACGAATTTACCTTTATTCGAACGATATCGCGCTATGTTTGCGTTACGTAATTTAGGCACTACAGAAGCTGTTTTGGCTCTCGCACAAGGTCTCGATGATCCATCTGATTTGTTTCGCCATGAGATCGCTTATGTGTTTGGACAAATTCAAAGCCCTGCCAGCGTACCTGCTTTGATCAAAACATTAGAAAATATGAATGAGTTATATATGGTTCGCCATGAAGCCGCCGAGGCATTAGGATCCATTGCAACATCGGATTGTTTACCAGTATTAAAAAAGTTTAAAACCGATCAAGAAAGGGTTGTTAAAGAAAGTTGTGAAGTTGCATTGGATATGTTTGAATATGAGAATTCACAGGAGTTTCAATATGCAAATGGGTTGATTGACCTATCGATTACTGTGGACAAATAAAGATTTGATTCTCTTCGCAAATTATTTGGCCAAGAATGAAATCGGGCTTTCTTCTGAATGAATAAGATTTTTGTACAATATAAAATAATACTTCAAATTAAGCCGCAACATTTTGAGTTTATTGTAAAGTGCGATGCAAGGTATATGCTGTACCCCGAATTGGAATCTGTCCCGATTCAGAATTGGGGCAGTCCCGGATGAGAATTTTGTAATTTTGGCCCGAATTATACTAATCAAAATTAATATAAACTCTAATTCTAACCCTAAACACTGACCCCTAAGTCTTAATTCTGCCAAAATGATCCCATCCAGGGCAGCCCGATTCTAAATCGGGGGTGCGACATATATACCGAATACTGTATTTTACATTTCAGAGTGTATAGAATTATGATGCGAAGATTGTATGTAAATTATGCGAAATTTTGAGTTATTAGCCAATTAAATTCAGAAAAGCATGACAAGTCAGGTGTTTATTTCTTTAGCCAATCAATTATACGTAATTAGCAAAATTTTGATTTTGATACAAATTTATGAATTAGCCAGGGCGACCACCAAAAGTGCGGGTCACTTGATAAGAGCCACAACCACTGCATAATTTCCTATAAAATGGTTGAATCGTTTAGCTCCTACGTACATGCAGCTTTATTATTGTAAAAATTTCTTAAAACGAATCATAACAAAGCAATATACTACTGGTTATTAATATGTAGCTTGACCCGCACATTTGGGGGTCACCCTGGCTAATTCCTTTCTTGCAGGCCGTTTACCCGCATATACTTATTTGCGCCTGTGATACAAACCCAAAAAAAGAAATTTTCCTATGTAGATCTCAAGATCAGGTGTAACGTATGTGTAACGTGAAATTGAAGGCTTTTTCAAAAAATCGTCAATAACACAAAATTTGACCTAAAAAATTACCTTTTATGGTTTAAATAAAAAAATTTCTTGCAAAATTTTACTATAAATGTTACTTTATTCCAACTCTAGGCTTAACCTTAACACTGTTCCTATCCCATATTCTATTAGCAAAAATATAAACAAATAAATATATACTATTGGCATGTGATTTGTATTACCGGTGCAAATAAGTAAATCTTGTTTACCTGACATCACGCAGGTGAATTTACTAACAATATATAATTACAACTAGCCAAATACTAATTCTAACCCTCTGTGATATCGGGCAAATGGTTTATAGAAAAATGACTGTCAAGAAAATGAACATAAGTATGTTGATTTCAGATTAGCCCAACATGTGCGCAAAGCGAAATTACAGGAATACAGGAGATATAAATCTGCTTTACAGCACTAATTAAATAGCGGAATAAATTTCATATATGAACCCGATCCTAATAATAACATTATAAACAAGAATATCAAGTGTTATAAACTTGAATTGTTTTCAAATAAAAAAATTATACAACAAACAGAATTCAATAGAAATCATACTATAACAGTAAATTTTAACTATTTACTGGATCTTGGATAATACGAATAGACAAATAGTTTTCTGAGTCAAGTAATATCAACAAAACATCAATATTCAAATTACTGTATATAAAATAACAATAGGTACAGTAATTGTGTCAAATATCAATCAAAAATATTATATTTGCAAAGCAAATTTGTTTAAAATAGCAATTAATTAATAGTATAAAGCAGATTTGAAGCACATCTGAAGCAACTTTTTGGCAATATAAAACAATCAATAGCCTGAAGTTTAAACTAAATAATCTAACAATGCTCTATGTTATTGATTGCAAGTTCAAATACTAAAATTTGATAGAATTTACACAATTAAATAAATAAAATTGAAAAAATAAGATTTTTTCTTTATTTATTTTATTATTCTTGTACTAGTAGCTTAAATTAAGAAAATATAAAACCTAGCAATATTTGATTTCATTAAAACTTTTATAAAATATCAGTAGACAATTTCTTTACTAATCAAAGTAAAGCAAGTATATAAATATATACTATTTTTAAGTAATATAATATAATTTATAAAATAATTAGAAAATATTTCTTGTAGTAATACAATCTAAATTTGTATAATATTATCATAAAGTAATATTTTAAGACTTGTCTAATATCTTTTGTAGTTATTTTTAAAATAGCTACTTTTTATAATATTTTTTTAGTTTCAGAAGAAGCATATTTTAATTAAAAGATATTTTAGCTATATTATATAAAAAGTTTTTAGAAAGTTGTTGTTGTTGAAGAAAAAGAATATATAAAGTTAAATACTTTTGAATTAATAAATTAATATTAATTTGAAATATTGTATAAACTTATAGAAAAATTCATATTTTTTTGTTTATTTAATCTTGCATACTGTGCTTTTTCATTGAAATAATTTTGTTAGTTATAACAATATTGGATAGTAAGAAATTTTTTTTCTAATAATTTTATTAATACTTTCAATTTGTTGAGTACTTTAAATATCAGCAATAAAATATAATTGCATATAGCTACTTGCTTAACTATAGTATATAGAATAAAGTATTTCAAATACATAATTAGAAAATAGTATAAAAAATTCAACAAAATTTGTTCAATAATATTTAAAATCAATTTCATTTAAACTGTTATAGAAATAACAAAAAAGCCTAAAGCATTTATCAAAATTTTTACCTATTATATCCTTTAATTTCTTAATAAAATTAGTGTTTAAGTAGAAAATACAATAGGAATAGTACTGTATATGTTAAACTATATATTTTACAAAGCTGCATTTATGGCTAGGTTGGTATTAGTATAGATAACTTTGAAGATTATTTAATTAGTTGTATTAATTAACTATTCTAAGACTCTAAAGATTTATAATATTATTTATATAATAAAAATAGTAATAACAATACAAAAAATATTTATTATTCAAAAAAAGCTTAAGTTTTATCTTCTAATAATGTTTAAGCAACAATATATAAATATGTATTGTTGTTTATAATTAAAAACAGATATAGTAGCATCTCATAATAGTTTGTTTTATAAGTATTATTAGACACTACAATATTTTACAGTAATATTGTGTCTACAATAAATTTATAATAAAAATATTTAAAAAAAGTACTGTTAATTTATTTTTTTTATATTTAATATTAGGTATAACTACTTATTATAAATTTTCTGTTTTAAAGTTAATAATATTGTAGAATTCTCTAGCACGTTCTTGGTTCTTTTCTATAGATCTAAATTATCTGGTTAACTCCGATTCTTCGCATATCCTGTTACTCCGGCATCTGTAATACGTAAAGTTCTAAGTTCAGCAGGATGAATACAAAGCATCACCATGATATCTGCAAGAGCCTGATAATCGGGTAAAGTTTTAATATCATATGCATCTAATCTTTTCTTAACCGATTCTAATGTAAATTCATCTGGATAATCAATACGTTTAGTTTCAGCCTTTTTCCGATTGTTCATCTGGATTTTGTTAGCTTCTTCTATAATATCTGGAAATTTCGTGGCCTCGATAATCTGGGGTAAAGCACCAATATTTCTTAATTCTCTTCAAAGCCAGAAAATACGTGATGAACCAGCATTCGCATTTTTTGCTGATAGGGCTAAGGCATAAGCTTCAGCTCTTACATCTCTAATAGTAAGTTTATCCTGTAAAATCTGTTGCGCCATCTCTCCAATAGTCTCCTCTATTCTTTTTGGAGTTTGTTTGAAATCGCAATATTTAAGGTTTTACTAGAGGCACTTTCACGATGGGTATTTTCACATTGGTCATTTTTCTGGATAGAGAATAAGTCATTTACTTGATCCTCACTAAACCCATATCTATTTTGCAAGATTCGTTTTGCTATCTCTCTAACAATTTCTTCTTCCAAATC